CTCTCTCTCTCTCTCTCTCTCTCTCTGTTTCTCTATTTCTCTTTTCGGTGTCCTCGTGCTCGCTGGATTTTCGATGTGGAGACCAGGCGGCTGGTGTACGTGGCTTCTACGTGGGCGTACGCGAAAGATCCTTTTTTCAGTCGCGCGCACGTAGAATCGCTCCTTCCGGTGGAGGGTCGGAGGGAGGAAGAGGCCACGACACGCGGTTTTTCCTTTTCAAACTCGGGAAATAATCTCGCCTGCCGATCCTAACTCGCGCGCCTCTCGCTTCTTCGCTGATGCTGCGCCTGTGAACCCGGAGGACGCTGCGGGATTTAATTGTTGAGAATCGTTACGTTCAAATCGGTCGGCGGTTCTGCATTCTACGGAAATTCTGCTGGCCGAATGGCTAGGTGAAGATTAAGGTTCGGTCGATTGTTTAATCGCAACTTAGATTTTTATGATGTATGTGTTGGCCTTATGGAAGATTGAAACGTAACGTTGAAAATAAGAACTGACCCTCTCGTTTACGTTACGTCACGTATTGCTTTACGATTGAAGAGATTTTATTGGAAGATCGGTTTTAATGAACAGGCATTTAACGAGTTTAGGAGGATTCAGCGAACTCGTTTGAGTTTCAACTGTTCTCGCGTGTCGAGAACTGTTTGAGAAATCCTGCGTGTTCGCGTAGATTTCGATCGACAATGAATAAACGCGTCGTCACGCGGGAAAATGCAGTTCTATCGGGAGCCGCGGTTAAGATAAATGTCGGCTGCCACTTTCCGGCTACCCGAAATTCGAGAGACTCCGGCATCGAACGAGTCGTTGACGACAGAGGGTGCTCGACCCAGAAAGATTCTGTATTTATTTTCCCGCAAATAGAAAGCTTGTCGCATAAAGTTCGCCAGGTGCAATCGTTCAGATATAAATTCCTCCACCACTTATTGCTCCGTTCCACGTGAAACGTTACTTTTTAATGTTCGACCGATTCCTTTCGTCGGGGAATTTACTCGTTAATCGGAATGCAAATACCGAAGTCCGAATAAATTCGTAATGAGGGAATAGTGATCGTTTAAATGCTCACATTGACAATTCGAGGGAACAATACAATTCATAAAGGGAGAAATTTCATTGCGGGTGCAACCCGCCTTAAACGATACCAGTCTTCCTGTGTAGTACAGCCCTTATTTCCGTGCCAAAGATTTGTCGCGACAGCAGTAGAAGATGAGAGACTGCAACATTATGCCGGTTTGCGTATAGTAAACACTTCGGGCTGAAATAAAACTAACCCCTCCTTCTGGATCCACTATTTCTATTAGGAGGGATGGACCCGCTGTATGATTCAGACGCGTCGTGTCAGCACTGTTCGATACCCTATAAACGAATATTGCTTCAAGAGCGAAGTAAAATACATTCACTACACAATTCCGAACTATATAAGTTTGTTACTGCATGAATATTTGTTGCTACGTAAATACTGTAATTTGTAATTATACATGTATAATAATTTTGCTGGAAGGACGAGTAATTATTACTATTTATTTAAAGTAATTATTACCATTTAAATTGAGAATAGTGTAGTGGTTAAATTATGGTGGAAACTTTAAATTTGGTAAGATTATTTCGTGCAAGCAAAATATAAGCTTACATATCTCTTTTCTTTTCCTTATCTTGAAAATAAAATAATATGATTGTTATATTAGATCGACGTGGTGTACTTGAAGAAAATTTGCAATATATATAATGATGTTTATGCGAAGGGTGGATTAAACAAAACTATACTTCGTCTCCTTGTTTGTAAGAAAATCAAAGAAAAGGGAGAGACAGAATGAGAGGGAGGGGGGGGCGGGCAGGGAGAGAGAGAAGTAGACAAGAAAAATGACTAGGGCAAACTTCTCGTATTATTGTTACAAATCCACTGTTTCTGTGAATTTGCAGAATCATGCGGATTTCATTCACGCAAAAACTTCCGCGGTTTCATGGATCTGTTTTACATATGGTACGGAGCCAAGTGTGACGTCGTCGAATTGTCTCGACGGTTTTGAATTCTGGGTGGGCTCCTCTGTTAGAATCCCCTTCATGGTAACAAGGCCAAACGAACACTATCTTTGCCCGCAAATCTATTATAATTTCTTAAACAAGTATACTTGGAAGCAGTTGTTCAGCAATCAAAAACAAACCTGCACGAAATGAAAAAACTTGTTGCCAAATTTTCATGAATCCCTGATGCTTCATCATTACTAAATCAACTGATCATTCGCAAGTAAACACTTACCGTTCGCAACGTTCATATAGTATTGGAAGTAATTCGCAAAAAAAGCGCGAACGTTACGTTAAAAATAATCAATCACGCGAGAAATACCGATAAACATAATTCGCGTCTGGATATCCCTGCGAACAGATATCAGCATTTTTTTTTGCTCGGCGCAAAAGGGACAAAAGGAAGCGCGGAAGATACTCGTGTCCATCGATTTCCGATGTTGTACCCGACGCGAAAGTTCAATATGCGTAACACGTAAAAACCCGTCGAAAATCTCGAGCCGCGGGCGCACCGACTCGGCTCGTTTCT